CCAATGGACTTCTCGGAGGCTGAGACATTTACATTTACATTTACAGAAAAAACGGAAAATGACTTTTAAATATAACCTGGAACAGATCCCCATATGTGTTTCAAAAGAAACCCTTGTTCCATGTTTCAAGCTCTGCTTCTACAGCGAGACTCTATTCTTTCATAACAGATCAATTCTAGAAAAAAAAATTGCGATTAAATTACCAAAATCAAAAGTGAGTCATAAGAGTAATTGTACTTCAGAACATCTGTTGACTTTTTTTGTTGTTTACCATACTCCATGAATATCAAAATGAAAACAAAAGTCTTCAATAAAACTAACCATCCTTGTTCACTTTTGAATTTGAATACAGCTTGAAAGATCTGACAGAGGCTTGAACCTGGCTTGAAGTCCAAAAAGCATTTCATCTGAGGACAAAGAAAAAGATGATGTTTGTATTGAGCACGAAGAATGTAATAGGAATATGTTATGTTATCTTTATTCAAAAGGTGTCGGTAGTCTAGTGGTTACGCTACTGGACCCGTACTCGTGAGGTTGCCAGTCCAGGGTTTCGAGCCGCAGGCCCGGCATGTCCTTGGGAAAGGCACTTAAAACGAATTTTCCTCACTTCCCACAGGAGGGAATGGGTACCAAGCCATAGACAGCGAAAGACCTTGTCAGCATGTTTATGTTTTAGAGCGTATAAAAGGCAGCTTGCACTGTATGCTTCCCAGGAAGTTGAGATTGTTTCAGAATGTTATCTATCTGTTAGGGTAGTAATCAGATTGTAAAGCGTATAGAGCTTGCTGTTAAGCAGGAATTTGCGCTATACAAAAGCTATCGACAATTATTGAATTCCTCAACACCACTACCTCCACACCTCAATTAGGAAGGTTTCACATTAATTTCATAAGTGGATGAGAGCACTAATAATATCACATGAAACAGGATTTTTGAGAATGTTGACCACTTACCGGCAATTTGGTGAGAGCTGGATTAGAAAAATTTCTTCCAAATGCTTCTTCTTGAAACTGCAACAGCTGAACTAACAGACTTGCCAAGCTCTTGTTTGTTGGGGGATCTGCGTGTACATACTGAGAAGGAGAAATACAAAAAAGAGTTTTAAGGAAACATTGAACAGAAAAAACAAAACAAAAATCAGCACATTTCCAGAGAAAAAGGACAAAAAGAGATACACTTTTATATGTTCTGATACCCGAGTGGGAATTTGTGCCTGCCAATATTATTATTATTTCACAGCTAATACCTTCATTTCAATCCATTGCACACTGCCACATCAACTAGCATGTTACCATATAAACCAGAAAATTGGTAAATAAGTGAAAAGTCATGCATAATACTCTGTTTTACAGACACGCATATCCATTAATTTTTAAGGTGTGATATTATTATTAATGTAATGCACACTGAGCATTTTTAAGAAACGAAATGACCATTCGGAGTCCAAATAGACAAAAATTATATTCGGACTCTGAATTGAGTCTTTATATCTCCTATCTTCCTTGCCCACGAGATTAAACCAAACTTGCTACAGGAAACCTTGTGATTGGATGACCCCAGGAATGTACTGTTTCAGCTTGTTCGCATATTTGAGGCCCTGACTGGGTGCCAAAGTGACGCCAGATTTATTTACGTGTTCAGTCGCATTTTTTTTGTTTTCTCATGGATTCGGGCAGTATTTTGACATTTAGTCATTTTCAATTATTATCACATTTGTTTCTTTGCAAGCTTAATAACATGATTTTTAATGCTTGTTATCAACATTTGGACACAATGATAGTGTGTCTAAAGTGGTTTTCACCATTGACAGCTATTTTAATGAGTATGTATCTGACCCACTCTACTCCACTGGTATCTGACTCTGCTAGACTTCTGACTCAGCCAATGCTGTATCTGACACAAATTCTTGATTCTTTATTATATAACCATTGACATTACAATATTTTACGTGCCGGAAGGATGAGAAACTATGCATTTTATGCTACAATCCGGGCAACCCCCCCGTTGGACAAAAACGGGGTGATTAAACTGCAAATTCTCTTTCATCCTTGATAGGGCCTCATATTTAAATAACTCTCCAGCTTTCAGAGTGTAACAAAACGTAGAATCTAGGCCACAGGCTCCATCCACAACCAACGTTAACTCTTCCGGGGGAAGAGCTTATTACGCTGTTTTGCTCAGCTGATGAAGAAAAAGCTGTCTTAAGGACTATTTTTATCAAAATCCCACCGTCACTGTAGAGTCAACAAAAGTAAGAGAGGTTGCTTTAGGCTTTAGGTTTGTCAGCCACTCTTTTAGGGTTAGATTTAAAAACAACATTTTAAACGATTTTTTTGTGCTCCAGGGCCTGAAAACTTTCTAAAGTCCTACAGCCAGACCCGGTACGTTTACTCTACCTGATGAAAAAATAAGCTTGTTTGATTTATAATTTTGAATACCATTGCGCAGGTACAAAAAACAATTTGAGTGCAAAACATTCGGAAATTGACCTATATTATATTATCCCCTTTCGAACCCCAGGTCATTCATAACAACAAGAGCGTCTAGAAAGGTTATTCGAATGGGCGTAACTACTCGTAATGTCTTAGCTTACAAGAGGGGGTTATTCATGTGTTGGGACTAGTCGATTCGTGATGTCCCGGCCCAGGGGGCGGCCATTTTGGCAAAATCAGTCAGGGAATCTCCAGATTGGGCGCTTTTTCGCCTGTCTTGGCCCCAGGAGTAGGCTAGGGGGGGTTCAGGTGGGCCCCCCCAAAAAAATGAATTTTATCATAATTTGACGTTTTGTAGATAGGTTTGATATCTCTCGCTCGCCGAGCATCAAACATAGCCCATAACAGATCTAGATCAAGGCTCACAAAAGCAGGGTGGGAACTGCCGAAAATGCGCCCGATCTAGAGATTCCCAGACTAATTTTGCCAAAATGGCCGCCCCTGAGTCGAGACATGACAACTCGACTAGTGCCCATGTGTTTGTAACACACTCCCATACGTTTCCAGGTGAGCGCGGTACACCAACAGTACACGTTGAGTGACCCCGGCAGCCTGCCTGGAACGTCCGACGTAATCGGTTGCTGATAAGATTTGCATCTCAGCAAAGACGCAGGACTAGAGTTAATGTAGAAAATGGACGACTCATACAGTTATAATGAGTCCTGAAATAACGAGAAGTCTGAACAATTATAAAGACACTACAGTCGAACCTGTGTAAGATGGAATCGCAAGGGAGCCAGAAAAAAATTCTGTCTTAGACAGGGGAATTTAGGGGGAGATGGAGGTTGGGGGGGAGGGGGGGGGGGGGTTCAAAGGCCCAGCCGGTGGGATCAAGGATCACTTGTCTTATCGACAAGCAGTGGTCAAAGCTTCACACTTCCCAGCTGCTATCCTCTTTGATAATGACATGCGTCAGTCTTACTTATCCAATTACCACCAGCAGACCTGCCACTCTATGAAACCTCAAAATCAGGATCTCGGGGAGAAAAAATCGGGAATTGGTGAAAAAAATCGGGATCAACAGCAACTCACCAAGGTGACTGCCAAAGCTGACTTAGAATTTTTCCAGGGTGTCCGATAAATTACTTGGCCTATATGCCCCCTGAGTGTCTTTCGTTTGTTTGCGTGAGCGCGCGCGCGTGTGTGTGTGTGTGTGTGTGTGTGTGTGTGTGTTTGTGTGTGTGTGTGTTTGTGTGTGTGTGTGTGTTTGTGTGTGTGTGTGTGCGCGCGCGCGTGCGTGCGAGTCATTATTTTTGGTAAATCCTGAAGCATCACGTCAAGCACTCCTGAATGTTATTTATCCTAATTTGATGTTGGAAGAGGCTAGCCGTACTTATTCTTAATATGATGGCTAGACTGACCATTTACAAAAAATAGGCCTACTGAATTGTAAATATACATTTTTAGTGTGCAGTACCTAAAGTATTTGTATTTGAGACAAAACCAGGTTCCTTAATGACAGTGCATGTATTTTAAACCTCCTGTTTTCTAATGTAAATAGGGCCTAACCTAAGATAAGTACGGCTAGACTGTCAGTCTAGCCATACTTAATATTGATGGCTGAATTGTAAATGAAAATTTTAGTTTGCAATGCCTAAAGTATTTGTATTTCAGACAAAACCAAAAGGTGCCTTACTGACTTGCATGTATTTGAACCTGAATAATAACTAGATCTAGATCTAGATCTCATGAGACCTGTGTACTTAACAGGATTGAGTCGATTGGGCCAAACCTAGATCTAAGTACGGCTAGACTGGCAGTCTAGCCGTACTTAAGTACGGCTAGACTCTCAGTCTAGCCGTACTCACTTCGTTTGATGTTTTGCAGTTAGGTTGCATCCCGGCTCTTTGTGTAGCCTATTTCAAATAGTATTTGGTCATCAAGACTTCTGGATTTCTCTTTGGATGTAAAGAAATAGATCGTGGACTTAAACGAACTGAACTACAACAAGATCACCTTTCCAACTTAATTTGACTACAACGAACAATTCGCACCGGTCCCCTCCCTCTCGTCTCTCGTTATAACAGGATTCCACTGTAGCGAAGTGTGAGACGGGAGGGAAAGGAATAGAATACAGAAAACCCTGTTCTCAGATGTACTTGTTCTATATTATTTAGATCAACAGACTTTCAAAGAGAATGCTCCCATTCATTGTCATTGTATTGTAAACCTACTGTAACTTGTAAGAGACCCAACCAAAAAAGACCCACATTTCTAGATTAAACCGGGGCTAAACCGGTCCTATTTAAGTTTTTTTCCTTTTAAGTCTTTTAAATAGCGTTGATGCCAAAGTATAAGTTTCTCACCTTTTTGCAGTTTTTTAATAGCCATGTCCGCACAGGCTCGAACTGAGCAATTGTTTCTAACGATTCAAAATATTTTGCGTTCGGACTGCCGTCTTTCTTTCTCTGCAGCGCCATTTTGATTCAGAGCGTGGGCAGTTCAGCAGAAAATGGGGTTGCTTTTTTTTCTAGGCTAGGCCTAGGCTAGGCCTACGCCAAGGTCTTTCCCTTTGATTGACATCCGTCCACAATACCTTTGTTTTAATAAAATCGAATAAAACATTACAAATAATAAATAACATCAACTTTTTATTTTAGTAGTAGGCTAATGTTAGACAATTATTTATCCCCACTTGTCAGGCTTGTGCCAATTATTTTCGTCTTCGAGAAATTACTGTAAAACACGCAATGTTTTCATGCGGTTCAAATTTTTAGTTCTTGTCTAGGCCTACCATTGTGAAGCGCGAGGTTCTACTCCGCAAGTTGTGTGCTCGTATGAGCGTAGCCAATTTTTGTTACTTTGTACGTGAGGCCTACTCAGATTTGTTTATTTTATTTTGAGTCTCAGGGCTGAACATTTCGCAACTTATAATGATGATAATAATAATAATAAAAATAATAAATTATATTTATAGCGCTCGACACCCCGAATAAAGTACACAGGCTCTGGGCGCTTTACAATATAGTACAACAGTAACATAAAACGTTGCTCTAACCTAGGATTTCTCTGAGAAGGCCTAGGTTCTAACTAAAGAAAATTATTCCAAATATTCATCTTATTAATTAAAAACAGAAACGACTTCACCTGACATTTGAATAAATCAAAAGATTTCATCTCTCTCGAAGTACATATACTTGGTAAAGCATTCCAGATCTTGGGGCCTTGGTATTCAAATGCCCTTTCACCATTTGTTTTATGTTTCATAGATGGTAAAATAAATTTCTTTTTGTCAGCTGATGACCTTAAACTGAGAGTTGGAATGTACAGTCCTAACAGATTTGATAAATTTGATGGTGCATTATCATTCAAACATTTGTGACATAGGGTGGCCAACTTGTACACAATCCTTTTCTCAACAGGAAGCCAACGCAAAGTTCGTAAAAGAGGTTTAGCAGAGTCTCGCTTTCTTTTCCGTAAAGCTAAACATGCAGCAATGTTTTGGAGAGTTTGAAGTCTTTTAACTTTCTCCAGTGATATTCCTGATAACAAGGAGTTACAATAATCGGGTAGTTTTGATAAAATTAAGCAAGTTACTATAGTAAAGCAGTATACTTAGTATTGATCAGATGACGTATTTTACTTATTTTTCTTATTTCTAAATACATGCAGCTGATCAGATGATTTACCTCAGCCGACATTGACAAACTGGAATCAAAATAGATGCCAAGATTCTTAACTTTTCTAGAAAATACAATTTTTGCATCACCAATTGTAATGTGATCCAGACTTTGCATTGCCTGCCAGAATGACTTTTGTTTTATTATCATTTAACATCAATTTATTTTTGTTCATCCTGTTTTTCACTAAGGCAATACAATTT